CCCCGCTTTGCCCCTGGATTCCTCCTCTTACAGGGCCAGGGGCTGTTCGTTGAACAAGTTGTGGGGCCTGCTGGCCGAGACCAGCCTGGCTGACTGGTGTCCTAGCAGCCATGCCACTGGCTTTCTCCGCGGTCCCTTTTCTCCACAAAGTGCAGAGAGCCCCCCCAGCCACCCCCCGCATGGCCTCAACCACTGCCACCGTGGCCACTGGCAGGTCCTTCTGGAGGCATCTACAGGGAGGCACAGTGCCTCCCAACACTGAGAAAGTGGATGTGGCTGGAAGAGCCCTGCGTTGGGACTCAAGAGGCCTGGGCTCTGGTGCTCTGGGCCTCTGGGCAGCATGGTCTCTGGGGGTCCGCTTCTTTCTGTCCTGGGGAGGAGGGTTCGTGCAACCAGAGATTTCCTGGGGTCTCTGTGCAGGGGGGCTGGCTTCTACTTCCAACCTCATTGGAAGAAACAAGGTCATGCTGCAGCAGCTTTTGAGACCCCCAGACTGGCTCCCGCACAGGGCACCCTGGCAGAGCCCTGGCTCGGCCCTGCAGGAAAGCAGCCCAGCCGGCCCTGGGTGGGGAGGGCAGTGTCTGGGGGGGACTTGAGAAGGGGGGGCCGGGGGGTTATGGCAGCCCCCGGAGCTCCCACCGCGAGGCACAGGCTGGGGCCGAGCCGCCAGAGGCACCCCAGGCTTCCCCGCCCAGCCACACCCCCGGACGGGCCCTCCCCAGTGCCCAAGGCTCGCACAGCCTGGCCCTCACAACGCCGTCTCTGCTTCGCCCCTTCCAGTATTCTCCAAGCATGACGATGAGCGTGTGATCCCCTCCTCTTCTCCGAGACGCTGAGAGAGCCGGCATTTCAGGCGGGAAGATGCCAGAAATTATGCAAGAAGAAGTGAGGTGTCATTACCCAGGAGCTGGGGGAGGGGCGTCTCCCTGCTCCCCCTCAGCCCCCCCTCCTCCTCCAGTCCCCCCACCTGTCCCAGTTTTAGTTTCATGCAATAAAAAGGCCGAACTTTTTATTCCATAAAACATGAAGGACAAAACTCAAAATAAAAATATATTTCAAGTCAGTGACCAGAAAAATCCCACCCCTTGCCCATTCCCAAAAGGACCTTTTATGTACGTGACACTTTTTTTTTTTTTTTTTTTTTGTTTGGGGTTTTACCGTTACTGGGATTTTTTAATTTGTTTTCAGGGGGGTTTTTTTGGGGGAAAAATTTTTAAAAATGGAAGCTTCTAGCAAGCCCCCCCCCCACCCCCCTCTGTAAAATGGGGAGGAGAAGCATTAATACTTTGGGCCCCTGGCCGGGCACAGGCAGTCATCCATTTGTGTGTGTGTGTCTGTGCGAGGTTCTGACTGGGGAGCCACACAGTCCACCCTAGGGACAGAGAGAGCCCAAGTCCATGCCACTTGGTTAGAGAGCTGTCCCGGTGCGACACTGTGTGGCCCCGGCCCAGTGTCTTTCCTTCTCTGGGTTTGTGTCCTCATTTGGTGCGTAGGGCGGAGCTCCTCTGCCCTGCACAACTCTGGGGGCCCAGGAGAGGGGCCAGCTCCAGCCGAGGGGCGTGCCAGAACGGAAGCCCCCTGAGGGCACAGCTCTTTTGCAGCTGGGTGTGGGAGCCCAGGAGAGAGCTGCAAAGGGCCTGGGGCCCACTCAGCCACCACGCCCTGTGCTTCTCCCCCAGTTCCCGATGGGTCCAGGCTCAGACGGCCCGATGGGAGGCATGGGCGGCATGGAGCCGCACCACATGAACGGATCGTTAGGTAAGCGGGCGCCGGCCCCGTGGTCACACTGCACCAGACCCTGCCCCAGCGGCCGTCTTCGGCTCAGCCAGGCCTGGTCCGCCCTCCCCGCTCCCACTGACCTTGGCTGGGCCCTGAGGAAGATCCCCAGAGATCCAGCCAGGACGGGAGACTCTGCACAGAAGTAGTGTGGGATTTGGGTGGGTTTGGAGGCCTCTCCACGGAAGAGCAAACAGGAAACTGAATCTGAGCCTTCTTTCCTTCCAGGGTCAGGTGACATAGATGGACTTCCAAAAGTGAGTGTGTATTCGGTTTCCTCCCCGACAGCATCCACCCTGCCCCAGCCCCGAGGCCCCAGAAAACTTGTCTCCCCGTCGGGTGGGACGGTTGCTGGGGCGCTGGGGCTCACCTCCTCTCTGCTCCCTCCAGAATTCTCCGAACAACATAAGTGGCATTAGCAACCCTCCAGGCACCCCTCGGGACGACGGTGAGCTAGGAGGGAACTTCCTGCACTCCTTCCAGAACGACAATGTAAGTGCTGCGTGTCCCCGGCCCCCC